TTTGGATATCATCAATACACCAAAACCCACAAAGGGGGCAAATGCACTTACAAATCCTCAGTCTAAAAAATACTGAGTAAGCAACTCATCATCCGAGTACCAGTCCTCTACCACAACAGTGAACGAATAAAGGCTTTTCAGATGAATCTAGGCTTTTCAAGTAACAGTGAACGAATACAGGCTTTTCAGGCAATGAAAATAGACTTTTCAGTTACAAGGACAGCACTGATTTATCACTTCACTGACACAGTACTGGCATGCAAGGAGGCACAACTCCACTCCATCTTCACCATCCATCTTATGACTGTTTGATCCAAGGGCTGAGGTGAAGAGGCACACGGATCGCTGACATAGCACATTTAGAGGCGTCCATTCCTTCTCTCAACCTATAAATAACCCCTCCTCATTCACACACACAATAAGGAAGAAGAGCACTCCTCAGCATTTTCTTTTGTTGTAGTAATAATGTCTGAAGGGTCGTCCAAAGAGCGAGGAAAGGGGAAGGGAACAACCATTAGGTGGGAGGGTCCTCTTGGTCCCGATTTCTTTGAGAAAGCTCTTTATGAGAGGTTCCCAGTTGAGAGCAAAAGCGATTTCACCAAAGAGGCACCACTAAGAGGATACAATAAACGGAAAGAAGAGTGGCCCAAATGCATGTATGGTGAGGACTGCCTAGTGTAGATGTTCACCGAGGGAATAGATGGAGGTCGTCGTTTCTTCAAATGCCCGCGAGCATGGGTAATTGCTATTAGTATTTCTTTCTTCAATATGTTCCTCTTCTATACAACTTACATGACATACTTATTGCAGTCTTCCTTGGTCGAAGAAAACTGTGGGTTCACTAGGTGGGTCGATCCTCGATCTATTTATCCGTATGCGGAGTACATCTACTACCTGCAGGACCATATCTTCGATCTATAAAGAAAAGTTAGCAGTGGTTACAAGGACGACGAACAGGAAGACGACAACAATGGTGCCAGTTCACAGGAGGCACTCTGCAATGATCTATATTGCACCTGCCCTAATCATAGAAATAAGGGTCCTCCGCCGCCGTCACCACCAACAATGGGAGGCTACTTTGGAGAAGGTGCAACACAATTTGCTATGTGGCCACACTATTAGAACGACTTTATCTTATTCACATGCCACATCTTTGTATTTGTTGTTTGGTTTAATTACGTAAGGCATGTTAGGTTTAGTCGAAGGAACTCTGTACCCTAGTTCGGTACATGTTCTCACATACATTTTCATGTGTTTTATGTGTTGAATTTTATAATGCCCTACTTCGTTAGGTTTTATTTGCAGCACGTGATCACATTTCAATACGTCCATAATATTAAGCTAAATATTATGACCACAAATAATAAAAACAACCACATAATGAAAAGTCCAATACTACACCATATTAAACAACATAATAATACTACAAGTATGTGCCGACAGTAGACATAGGGGGCAAATGCACTTTCAAATCATCAGTCTCAAACATACTGAGTAAGCAACTCATCATCCGAGTACCAGTCCTCTACCACAACCCTAATGCTGTGGCTAGGCTTACCTACATTGCTCTGACCTGTCGGTCGCCTGTAGTAAGCGGCCTCCGCTTCATCTGCGGCCTCTGTGGCCTGAGTGAAGAACACGTCGTCATCCTCCTCCGCTTGCAAGCCTGCCTTTGCTAGAGCGATGAGCTCGCCCAGTCTGCCAGTGTCGTCCTCAGCCTCCTCCACCTGCAAGCCCGCCTCTGCTAGAGCGCTGAGCTCACTCAGTCCGCCAGTGTCGTCCTCAGCCTCCTCCGACTGCAAGCCTACCTCTGCTAGAGCGATGGGCTCACTCAGTCTGCCAGTGTCGTCTTCATCCTCGTCCCCCTCATTAGACAACACAATCGGTGATTGAACGGTGCGACCAGCTCACGATCTGTGCTCATCTAACTTCTTTTCCTCATAACTTGCACGAGCCACCTCTGTGGCATGTTTCTCGCTGCATCCAATCCCTTCATGTATAAAATGCAATCAGTTAGCAACGCGATTATATTACATTTAAAATCAGGCAACGAAAAAAGGCTTTCAAGCACTCACTAGCACATAATGCAACAACATGCTCGTTCATGACCTGCAGCTGTACTCTTGTCTCCTCCCTTGCCTCCTTTGCCCTCACCTCCTCTAACATCATCCGTCTCTCCAATCCCTATTTGTCAAGCCCAACATCGATCGGGTTACAAATATCGCGTTGTCTAGCAAACTCACGCATCTTTTCTTTGTAATGTTTAACGAATAGGTTGACGTAGTCAGGTCTATATCCCCTCTTCCGTTCAATTACTTGCCTCCCCTTCAGTTCATCCAAGAACTTAACTTGACCATCATAACATTCCCACCTGCATTTCCTAGTGCTCTGTTCAAAAGAAAAAAAATTATATCATATATGTCTTAGTAAAAGAAACAAAATACGATTTCATGTTTACCACAAAAATAACCAACCTCATCATAGTCAACCATATGGCCGCAATAATGGCATATTCCAAGCTCCAAAGGGATTAGGCCATAGTTGGATTTAACACCACATTCGCACATGATAGGAGGTGCTTTGTAAATTACCATTTCTTTCTTCTTTTCCTTAACCTTTCGCGGTTCTTCCGGTCATTGGTTCTTAGGACCATACAACCACTCCTTGAAACGACACTTCGTCATTGAAAACACTTAAATAATGTGACATTAGTACATGAACACATATAGCTCAACATTTCAACACATACACTGTGTACTTACTTCATGCTTGTTTGGACATACAAACTCCAACGTATTCTCAGGGTTTATCACAGCTCGATCTTCGCAATGGCACAGAGGAGGTTCCTCAAGTCGTCTAACTGCGGCTAGGTGTTTCTCCTTAGCCGTCATTGGCGGAGGATTAGGGGGGTGGAACCCACCGCTTGAAGTGCTCACGTGGATGTCTCCCTCTAAACCAATCATCGAAAAGGAGGTACCTAGGGTCAAACTTATCTGGACCGTCGATCCACTGAAAGAAAAAGCACCTCTCATAGTCCTACACAATGATATTCCAATAAAATATTAGTAGCATACTTACACAAATAAAGAAAAAAGATAGTGAAAACAATTTAGTACATTAAAACGACTGCATATGTAGAAGCACCGCGCCGCTGTGTCCGGATGTTTCGATTGAAAAACGTGGGCCAGGAAACCATAGTCACAGTTAGGGACAGTGAGGTCAGGAGGGACGGGGGCATCTTTGCTAGACGCGTCGGGGTATAATTCTCGAGGATGACCCCATTTTCGTCAAAACTCCTCCCGATACATTTCTTGCATCTAATAAAGCGGATGTAATTTAACAAACAAAAATCAAAACATCACAAATAAATGCAATGGGAACCATAACTACAATACAACCAATTTCGTTCTAAGAACCGAAAGCAATTAACATTAAACCCTAAACCTAGGGTTTTTCATTTGATGCACAACAATTAACCCATAACATAACTACATGCGCTGCGGTTACCTAGGTTTGCTAGCTTTTTCACGCCTCAACATCATCCTACGGCTGTATAATACAAATATTGAGGGATAGAATAAAACCCTAAGTAATGACGATTCGTAGGTTGAAAAATCCGACTAATATATATCAAATCAAAGTTTCCAAGGTCTAATATGCCGATTCGTGAGGTAGGGCGAGGTGGGGAGAGAAAAAACTCAAGTAGGAGGAGAAAGAAGAGGAAGAATGCTAGGGCAGGAAGGTTGGGGCTTGGGTTAAAACCTAAGCTCGGCGCTAGTCACCCTGACGCCAGCTCAGCGCCAGGATCTACGGCGCTGAGCTCGACGTCAAGATCTACGGCTCTGAGCTTGCGCCAGGGTGACTGGCGCTGAGCTTCCTGCCATGTCACCGTCACGTTTGCTTCAAACCCAAGAGCTCGGCGCCAGCGACGATGACGCCAAGCTAAAGGTTGAGCTGAAATCTTTCCTCCAGAGATATATTTATGAAAATTTTTCAAAAAAAAGAGTTAAAAATAAAAAAAATCAGACCCAAATACCGGTGAGCCCCCTCTTCTTCCTCTCCGAAGGGACGTGGATGCCGGCAAGCCTCGATCGCCACCCCTCTTCTTCCCCTCCGGTGCGGCGCGGGCGCAAGCGCGAGCGTGTTGCCGTTCCGCGTCGCGTGCTCGGTGTGGAGCGCGACCCCTCGAGTGTAAACTTTTGCGATACATATAATATGTATAGTATATGTATAGTGTAATAATATTCTGTAATATTTTTGCTCATTGTAGCCCAAAGCAAAAAATAAATAAATAAAGGCCTTTCGGCTTGTCTTCCATACTTCAATCCTCGCAGGCCGGCCCACTAGCCCACTAAGCCACTCCACGCCTCCACCCGACCACACCGCCGTTGCTGGCCCGGCGTCCTGCCCCCTCACTCCCTCACGGACGCTCCTCACGAAAGCGACTCCGCCACCGGCTCCGCACTCCCTAACCCTAGGGCCTAGGCGGCGCGGCGGCAGCGGGGGGGGGGAGCAGCGGGCTGCGCCGCGCGCGGCAAGCTGCAAGAGGTAGCAGCAGCACGGACCATGGCCTCCGCGGCGCGGCTCCGCGCCTAGGCTGCAGCCTGCAGGGCCGAGGGGCGGCGGCGCGGTGCGGTGGGAGGCGGGACAGCGGCCAGGCGGTGAGGGGTGACCTGCGGCCTGGTGGGCGGGGGCGGCGGCCAGCCGAGCCCAGGACTCCTGCTTCCAGGTCGGCACTCGGCAGGCCAGCGATTCTAGGTTTCTGGCTGAGGACAGACAACAGAGAAACTGAGAAAGTGAGGATTTAGTGATTTACAAGGTGAGTTGTTAACTTTTCTGTTATTTATCCAGCTGCAATTTGCAACAAAAAGTCTAGAAAGCAAAATATTTGTGAGAATTTACTGATTTACAGTGCTATTCAATCATTACTGATTTGAGGATTTTTTTTTTTTTGTGTGTGTGTGTGTGTGTGTGTGTGGAAGTGGGAATTCTTCGCCAGTATGTTGGGCACCAGTTTCATTGAGGTCAAACTCGATTACTCAGCCACCAAGAACCTGCCGAAACGACGCGTCCTTGATGGCAGATTATTGGCCGGAGGGCGCACCTGGACGATAGTTTGCTTCCCGCGTGGGGTTCATGAGGACCAGTCCGACAATGGCGAGTACCTCTCTCTCTTCGCCACGACCAAGAGCAAATCCAGACACGGCGTGAAGGCTGTCTTCCAAGCCTTTCCGATGAGAAGAGACGGAGCACCATCGTTGTCCCATGCAAAATGGTCAAGCGAGATCCATGGTGTTGGCTCCAATGGTGGAACTGTAATTGGGTGGCTGAAGTTCATGAAGCGCAGCGAGCTCGAGCTGGGTTGTTACCTCGTCGATGGCTGCGTGACATTTGTATGTGGAATCATAGATCTCAACAGCAACGACCGTGTGCCTGTGCCTCCCACAGACTTGGGCGACCATCTCGGACACCTGCTGCAGTGCACCGACGGCTCAGACGTCTCCTTCTCGGTTGGCGGCGAGGCGTTCTGCGCGCACCGGGCCATCCTCGCCGCTCGCTCGCCGGTCTTCAAGGCGCAGCTCTTTGGTTCCATGGCGGACGCCCAGACGGACAGCATCACGCTGCACGACGTCCAGCCGGAGGTTTTCCGAATCCTGCTGCGGTTCATGTACACCGACACAGTGCCCACGGACACAGACCTCATCAAACATCTCGAGGGCCCTTCAGCCACGGACTTGCTCCAGCACTTGCTTGCGGCGGCAGACATGTACCAGCTGGACAGGCTGAAGCTCATGTGCGCGCAGAAGCTATGGGACTGTGTGTCGCCGGAGACCGTGGCGGCGACGTTGGTCTGCGCTGAGATGCACAACTGTTCGGAGCTGAAGAAGATGTGCATCGACTTCTTTGTGGTGGACAAGAATTTCAAGAGCGCGGTGTTGACAGAGGGCTACTCGCGCCTGATACAGGGCTTCCCGTCAGTTATCGAGGAGATCAGAGCAAGGCTAGTCCAGCCGTAAATGAATGATGATGATTCATGAACAAACATCTATCTCTATGTTATGCCGAAGGAGGGCTCGAATTTGTGTCATCGCCAGTATTATGTGAAGTGCATGAAGTATTTCTATTACTTAATTTCAGTGCTTCGTGACACACAAAATTATAAATCATGCTATATTATTTTGATATCTGGAGTTGTCGCTCTTCATTCCCAAAACAGTTTAGCTTTCTATACTTTTTCTTGTATCCCCCCGAATCATAGCATGAAATAAAAAATGCATCTTATATATATTCTGTAAAGCTGTAGAATGACTACGTCAAAATGATGCGAGATGTGGAAGATTCTTGCATGCTGCTGGAGTGGTGGCAGGCATCCGAATTCTCTGCATCTACATTTTGTGAATTCCAAGCGTTTTGAGGCCTCTACATACCAAACTATACACTACATACAAGAAGATTGTCGGAAACGGGATCCACTTTGCATCACGTATTAGTTCTTGATTAGTGTCGATGTGACACTTGTGCGCGTGGGCCGAAAGTCAAACGATTTTTGTGGGCGTTGGCACAAAATAGTCTTCCAAGCAGAATGAATATCATTGGTGAAAAAGTGCCGGTGATTACTGGATGTAGAACAGATTCAGTTGCAACTTATTGATCTGTAAGACTACAAGTTGTGATATTCTGCTCTAGGTGGGTTGTAAGTTATATATAACAAGGCTAATCCTGGAGAAAAAACAATGAAATCTTGCGATGAGATTGGTCACAAAGTGAGTTCTTTAATCTCTGATTTCCATTGGCTCAAATCAGAACATAAGAAAAGGAATGTAAGTGCCCCTAAAAAATGGCGTCCACCACCTGTTGAAGTTCTGAAAATGAAGAGGAGTTTTTTTTTCCATCACAATTCAAGAGCAAAAAAAAAAACAGAGAGAGAGAGAGAGGAAGATTGGGCGCTGTGCACAATGCTGTTTGTGCTGAGGCGTATGCATGCAGATTGCAGGGATGGTGTTTTGGCAGCGTTCCCGGTCGGCGCCGAGACGTTCCGCGCGCACCGGGCCGTGGTCACCGCGCCGGTGTTCAGAACGCAGCTCCTCGGCGGCGTCCGAGAGAGACTCCGAGTTCATCACATCCAACAGGTTCTAAATCCGAAACGTCGTTCACGGGAATTTGGATCCCAAGTTGGAGTAATATATATTATTTCGGCTGATCCATTACGTGGATTATTTCGGCCGATTTCGGCTGATTCAATAATGTTCTACGAGAGAGAATAAGCTAAAACAAGCTGAGACTAAGACAAGGAGAACAGGGTTTTCTCTTCGTGCAACAAACCCAATGCTGCGTACGCAATTTTGGCAACAAGATGTTGGGCTCCGGATTTCTCGAGCTCAAGCTCGACTACTCGCAAGCCAAGAACATCCTCATCGGCGACGTCATCTACTCCCAAAACTTCTCCGCCGGCGGCTACCTCTGGCGGATCAGGTGCTACCCGCGAGGCAATAACAAAGACGACAGGGGCGACTACCTGTCACCGTTCCTAGAGCTCGTCACTGTTAGAAATATAAACGACGAAGAGCAGTAGATCAAACAGGGGACACGAGATTTTAACGTGAAAAACCCTCCCAAGAAAGAAGGGAAAAAATCACGGGCACTAGCTAGCAAATCTTCACTATATCGGGTGAGGTTACAAACATCGGGGATTTATAACTTTTTTTCTTATCCCAACCACCAATAGTGAACACATAATCTGTGAGAGATCCTCTCTTATCCAAATCGGCAATAAAATCTGAATCCACGTAGACAATGAATCCCTTATTAGTTTTACCAAACTCATCAATAGTGAACACATAACCTGTGAGAGATCTCTTCTTATCCAAATCGGCAGTAAAATCTGAATCCACGTAGCCAGTGAGTCCCTTATCAGTCTTGCCAAACTTTATCAGCCTGTTCGCTTGCTCGTAAACGATCATTAATTTTCAGCCGGGAACAATGTTTTTCTCTCACACCAAACCAGGCAGCAGTAAATAATCCACGATACGATACGGCCTCCCCGAACAGGCTGTAAATAAGCATTTATTGTGCCACGAAGGTACCTGAGAATCCACTTAACAGCATTCCAATGTTCTTTACCAGGATTAGCCATGTATCTACTAACCAAACTCATAGCATATGATAAATCAGGACGAGAGCAAACCATGGCATACGTCAAAGAATCAATGACACTAGAATATAGAACTCTTGACATGTACTCAAAATCCTCATCCGTACTAGCACATTGTAAAGCGGATAATTTAAAATGAGGAGCAATGGCCCATTTCGCGTGCCTTTAAACCCGGCTTGATCCGCTTCTTTTTTTTATCCGGAACAGTGTTTTTCTCTCATAAATTTTTTCAGATTCCTCCAAGCGAACAGGGCCAATAGGAGTACTAACAGACTTTGCATCATGCATGTTGAAACGATGAAGAACTTTCTTAATGTAACTTTGCTGACTAAGAAATAACAAACCATAATTTCTATCTTTTGTAATCTCCATACCTAGAATTTTTTTAGCAGCACCAAAATCTTTCGTCTCAAACTCACTACTCAACAGTTTCTTCAATATATTGATTTCTTTTTTGCTCTTGACAGCAATCAACATATCATCAACATATAACAGCAAGTATATAGGTGATCCATCAACAAATTTAATGTACACACAGCTATCAAATTCAGACCTCTTAAAACCATGTGACATCATAAAAGAATCAAACCTTTTATACCATTGACGAGGAGACTGTTTCAAACCATATAAGGACCTCTTTAATTTACAAACATGATCCTCCTTACCAGGTACTATGAACCCATCTGGCTGGTCCATGTATATCTTCTCCTCGAGCTCTCCATGTAGAAACACAGTCTTTACATCTAACTGCTCAAGTTCAAGATCTCGCATAGCAACAATATCGAAAAATGTACGAATTGAACTGTGCTTTACAACTAGAGAGCACATCATTATAATCAACACCAGGAATCTGATTGAAACCTTTTGCTACTAACCTTGCCTTAAATCTTGGAGGCTCACTGGGAGATAAACCCTCCTTTCTCTTGAAGATCCATTTGCAACGAACGGCCTTCTTATGTTTAGGCAAGCGCACAATATCCCATGTGTCATTTTTTCGAGTGACTGCATCTCCTCTTGCATAACGAAAATCCACTTCTCGCGGTCACCAGAAACAACAGCTTCAGGTGTACGTAGCCGGCTCATGAATGTTCTCCACCTGTTCAGCACAACTAAAGGCATAATGAACCATATCACATTCCTCAATTAAACGTGGACGAGATCCATAATTCCTCTTTATTCTGCGATCTGCAATAGACTGATTTTGAGGCTGCAAAACAGGAGGTGGGTGCTGAGCAATATCATGAACATTGTTATCAACAATTTCAGTTTTCTGATCATCTACGTGCTCCACCTGCACGCTAACATGTTGTTGCTCCTAATCAGAACCAACTAGAGAAACATCTATGGACAAGCTGTCATTAAACATAACAGATTCATTGAAAACAACGCTCCTGCTCATGAAAGTCTTTTTAGTTTCAGGATTCCATAACTTATATCCTTTAACTTCAGAACCATAACCAAGAAACAGACACTTAATGGCTCTAGGTTCTAGCTTTCCATTATCAACATGAGCATAAACAGTGCAACCGAAAACTCTCAACAGTGAATAATCAGTAGGCATATCAGACCATACCTCAATGAGAGTTTTCTTATTAAGTGGGATAGAAGGTGACCGGTTGATCAAGTAACAGGCGGTGTTAGTAGCCTTAGCCCAAAAATGCCTATTCATACGAGCATTGGACAGCATGCAACGAGCCCTCAAGATGATGGTTCGGTTCATGCGCTTAGCCACACCATTTTGTTGAGGAGTGTACGGGATGGTGTGGTGCCTGACAATGCCTTCTTCCCTGCAGTAATCATTAAAAGCATCCGAACAGAATTCACCGCCATTGTCAGTACGAAGCAATTTTACCTTCTTTTCAGTTTGCCTTTCTATCATAACTTTTCACTCTTTAAAAACAGCAAAAGTATCATCTTTATTTTTTAGAAAATAAGGCCACACTTTTCTAGAGTAATCATCAATAATGATAAGCATGTAACGAGAACCACCATAAGAGGGCTTACAAGATGGCCCCCACAAATTAGCATGTACATAATCAAGTGTACCTTTGGTGATATGAACAAATGCATTGAATTTTATCCTCTTGTGCTTACTAAAAACACAGTGCTCACAGAACTTTATCTTACCCACAATGCAGCCATCCAGCAGGTCTCTCTTGATCAATTCTACCATACCAAGTTCACTCATATACCCAAGACGCATATGCCAGAGATTAGTCTTACTTGGTTCATCATTAGAAACAGTAGCAGCAGTGACGGAACCATGTAAAGTACTTCCTCTAAGAACATATAACTTTGCAGAATTCATATCACCTATCATATGAATGAGAGAGCCTTTTGATACCTTACACACTCCACCTGAACCAGAGTGTTTATACCCCTCGGCATCACGTGTGTTGAGGGAGATGAGATTTTTGGCCAACCCTGGTATGTGTCTCACATCTTTCAGTGTACGTATCATGCCATCATGCATCTTAATCTGAACGGAGCCAATGCCCATGATCTCACGTGGGTTGTTATCTCCCATACGCATGACATCTCCACTCTGCACAGACTCATAAGAACTGAACCAATCTCTATTAGAGCATAAATGAAACGAGCATGCAGAATCAAGTATCTATTGATCACGACCAGCAACACAACCAGCAAGAACAATAAGAACGTCTCCTGAATCAGAATTATCAGCAGCGAAGACAACAGAGGCCTTACCATCACCATCGGATTTATTTTTCGGTTGATACATACCGTTTCTTTTTTACTTATTCTGCAGCTTCCAACAATCATCAATGACATGAGTATCTTTCTTGCAATACCTGCAGAACTTATCACTGCCTCTAGACTTCGAACGGCCTTTACGGTTCTTGCTCTCTGTCTCGATTATTATTGTTGTAGTAGGTTTTCTGTTCGGCCCTGTCTCTAACCTACAACACTTCGCCTTTGGAGGACGACACGTCAGACTGAACCATACCTTTCATCTTCTCCCTCGTCTGGAGGTCCTCATATACTTCCGCAAGGGTTAGTTCATCACGGCTTAATAGTATGGTATCTTAAAAATTTGCAAACAAATTAGGCAGTGAGCATAACAGTAGAAGAGCTAAATCTTCATCATCATATTTTACCTTCATCGACACTAGATCGGCAACAATCTCCTTAAAGATCGATAAGTGGTTCATCACCGAACCACCTTCTTGCAGCTTGTGCGTGAACTACTTCATCTTCACGTGCATCTTACTGGTTAGATCCTTGGACATGCAGATCGATTCCATCTTGAGCCAAAGTTCTATGGCAGTTTTCTCTTGCAGCACTTGTTGCAAAATATCATTATGTAAATGAAGTTGAATCAGAGATAGAGCCTTATGATCCTTCCGCTTTTCTTCAGCGGTCCATGACTTCTGCCCTTTGCCTCCGAAACCATCCAGCACCTCATCAAGATCCGAAGATTGTGCCAGAATCGCCCACATCTTGACTTGCCACAGCGCAAATCTCGTCTTGTAATCCAGCAGCGGTAGATCAAACTTCATCGATGCCATCGCGAAACCCTAATGTGAAACCAAGCTCTGGTACCACTTGTTAGAAACGATAGGCAATATAAACGACGAAGAACAGTAGATCAAATATAGGGGACACGAGATTTTAATGTGAAAAACCCTCCCAAGGAAGAAGGGAAAAAACCACGGGCACCAGCCAGCAAATCTTCACTATATCGGTTGAGGTTACAAACGTCGGGGATTTACAAACGTCGGCCCAAGCCTCCCAGCGACGGGTGTCGCTTTGTTCCGTCAAAAGTTAGCCTTTATCTTGAACATAACTGAATTTGAATCACAACTCAACAGTGACCCAGTCAGACACCAACGTGACGGCCGTCTTCGACGCCTTCCTCCTGCATGGCGACGGCGCAGCATCGCTGGTGCACCAGAATCGGTGCGTGCACGCGTACCTGCCGGAGGGCTTCAGCGCGTGGGGGTGGATCCACTTCGCGCGGTGGAGGGACCTGGAGCTCGAGTCGTCGTCGCCCGACGGCCGTGTGACATTCATGTGCGGGGTCATCGTCCTGCACGGCGCCGCCCCGGCGATCGGTCCGCCGCCGCCCGACGTCGCGACTAGCCTCGGCCACCTACTGGAGACGTTCCGTGCGCACCGAGCCGTGCTCGCGGCGCGATCGCCCGTGCTCAGGGCGGGTCTGCTCGACTCTATGGCGGAGGCCACCACGCCCACCGTCACGCTGCGCGACATCGAGCCCGAGACGTTCGGTGCCATGCTGCGGTTCATGTACACCGACACGCTGCCCGCGGAGGTCGACGGCGAGCGCTCGCCGTCAGAGGACTTCTTCCTGGCGCTGCTCGCCGCGGCGGACCGCTACTCGGTGGACATGCTGAAGGTTTGTATGCGCAGAGGCTGCGTGACATGCTGTCGGTGGACAAGGTCGGTGCCATCCTGATCTGCGCCGAGGTGCACGGCTGCCCGGAGCTTAATAACAAGTGCCTCGAGTTCTTCGTCGACAACAAGAACTTCAAGAAGGTGGTCTTGACGGAGGGGTACCTACAGCTGATTCAGAGCTTCCCGTCACTCGTTGATGAGATCAAAGCGCGCATTGAGGAGAAAGACGAGCACGCTTTACAGGAGAAGAAGGGATCGAAATACTTTGACTCTAGCGTAGTTAAAGTGAGCATGATTATGCTCAACTTTTTGGTTGCGCAACTCGAAGCTTTACTTTTGGATACTTAGGCATTTCCTATGTGTCATCGCAACCTCTATAATAAGGATTGGTAGAGGAGAAATTTCAGAAAAAAAAACTTAAGTAGCTGGAAGGGTAAACGCCTCTCTATTGGTGGAAGAGTGGAAGACTATTGATTAACTTGTTTATTTGAGACCAAAGAAGAATTATATTAGACTATGTTACAGGCACTCTGAAATACACTACATATATCATAAAACTGATTTTCATCTATATCCCGCAAGTCCACGACACAACATAAGGTAGCAGCCGGTAGGTACACCGAGTATACAATGTTATATATTATTATTAGACGAGGGCTAGAAAGGATCGTATTATTGTTCAGGCGGGGATCACTGTATCATTGCCAGATGGGAGCGCTAGCAATAGCTTCAGTCCCAGAGGTGCATCTGCCTTTGCACCAACATTGTAAAAGGTTACAGAAGCCTTGAAAGTTGTCGCTGCGTTCGCCTATGCATACACTATTGCAGGTGTCGTCGTCTATCAATCCAATGCATACTCCTTCATAATTGCCGCTCAGGTGTTCGGCGCAGGAGGACGCCGACTCTGCATGGTTCAGATCCAGGCACGGACATTTATGCAACAAATGTCGAAGGCGCATCAAACAACTTTTAGCAAAAGATTAACCAAATGACATCGCCGCTTGCAACATGTAGTTCATGCATGTGCACGCATACATACCACGAGCTGCCGTGATGATGGGTAGGAGGAGGACGACGACTAGGAGGACGGCAGAGAGATTCATCTGTGAAGGCGCCATTGCTTCTTATATGGTGGAAGTCAGTACGTTGAAGAAGACTGAGCGAGCAGATTTGTTGCGATCGAGTGTGGAGAAGTCTGGAAAACACTTGACTAAGAGTGAGCATATATATTCTCTTAACAAAAAAAAAACCAAAAAATATCACTACCCAACATCAGATCCATCGGATTAGCTGCTAAGAGTGCTGGAAGAAATAAAGCAAGGCCATGTTTAGTTCACGCTAAATTTCCAACTTTGACACTATGCAAAAAGAAGATTCCCCGTCACATCAAACTTGTGGTACATGCATGGAGTACTAAATATTGACGAAATCAAAAACTAATTACACAGTTTGGTTGTACTTTGCGAGACGAATGTTTTGAGCCTAATTAGTCAATGATTGGACAAGTATTACCAAATAAAAACAAAATGCTACTGTAGCTGCAGGGTTTTCGGCGGCGCCTATTCGGGCCAACTAAACACGGCCCAATTCTAAAAATTATGCGCAGCAGGTGACAGGTGACATACTGTTAACGGCGATGCCTGCTCTCGATGCTGCACGGTGTCCCTGTCCCCTGGTCTTCCTCCCAAGAGAAGATGAAGGACGGAGCGAGAGAATCGATCATGATGATGCAGCAAATGACAGGTGAATATATAGAGTAGTACGGAGTATAGTCCAACTCGGGCGGCAAGCACTAGGAGAATAATCTGATTCGGGCGCGGACAGGATGGGATCCTCCATGGGCGGCCTCGACGTGTACGTGTACCCGGTCGCCGTGCGCGCGCGGGTCTGGCAATTGGCATCAGCAGGCGCGGTCAGGCTCGACGGTATATGCATCAGCGTCGTCGTCAGGCGGATTGTCTTTGCCTGTTTGCAACGATCGATAGCGCCGACCACTGGTGGGTGCCAGATCAGAGAGGTCCATCCATCTGCTTCCTGCTGGGCGCTTGCGCGCTTGTATTGACGGACTGACGACGGGGGATGCTATGGTACTAGTACCATGCGTTGCATTGGATCCACCACCGTACCCGATCTGCCGAGGAAAACGGACAAGGATAATCAGATGAGGCTGAGCGAGCATTGTACAAGAAGCAAGCAATTCAAGTATTCAGGCACTGGATTTGGAGTACCTTTGTACTAGCGTCTTCCACCACGCCCGGGTCGTTGAAGCCGGCAGCTCGGGCGGCACCCCCGACCCCACCGCCGGCACCACCTCCTCCTCATCCCTGCTTCCCCCGACGCCGAAGCTGCTGGCCGGAAGCCCGGTGGACTGCGAGGATGACGGCGGAGGGGCCATCTCTCCCATGGCTTCTGATTTGGTGTGTTTTGACGGAGCCTCGCGATGCAGCTGCAACCCATGCTATGGTAGTGGGTAGCGTGTGGATCCGGCGAGGGCCTAAGCAAGAGCGACCAGATCCGGTCCAATGACGACGTTCGGCGGCATGGGGCGGCTCTGCCGCTGATCAGTGGAAAGAATGTCGCTTCACCACTTTTCTCTCTACCCAACTACTGAAAATGAATGAAATAAGAGACGTGTTGTTCAGTAGCACGTACAATTGTCAGCAATGAGAGTGTCTTCCAGCAAATAGCTCCATTTTAGGTGTCCGTCAGCAAATGACCTCTATTTTTAGTGTCCTCTAGCCAATTTTTTAAAAAAATTGGTAGGTTAGAAAAAAACAAAAAGCAAAATAATAAATAAAAATTATAAAACATGGGCGACACGCTTCAACCCTATAGAATGCCAAGACGATAAAAATGGACAAGTGAGCCACCCACGTCTACTTCCCCGTTCCAAAGAATGTAATTATTTTATGCTAAATCAAACAATTTCAAATTTGATCTAATTTATATTAAAATATATATTGTAATATCAATAGATTCATAATCAAATATATTGCTATAATAAATGTATTTTGTCAATAATCTTCTATAATTTTGATCAGACAAAATATTTTATGTATATATAAAATTAAAATGTTACTTTTTACGTGACAAAAGCGATAGAAAATTAGCCATGTTTGTGTCACGGCGAACTTTTAGCCGACTAAAGGATACCTGGAGTGTTTGCGACCAAAGGCAACCGCAATAACACAGCCAAAATCAATATTTTAACGGAAACGCTCAGACGCGGGCGTCCGTCTTGTAGGACATGGCTTCCCACTCCGCTTCACTCGTCTCTCTAAAAAAGCTCTCCCTCGCCCGCTTCTCTCAATAAAAAAAACTAGATTTCCGAGACTCCGCCTCACGCCTCTCAGATTCACCGCGTCGTGCGGCCGTCTGCCCGCCCCACTCCACCGCCGCCATCCCCGCGGCGCCTCTATCTCGCGCCGCGGCCCACTCCTCCATGCCGCTGTCGCCATCCCCCGTGGCGCCCGGCCCCGTACCCTGCCATGCCTCCATCGCCCGCAGAGAGGAGGAATCCACCGCCAAGGTACACTGCCAGCCACCCCACTGACTGCAGCGGCTGCTGGACCCGGTCGTCGACGCCTCGCCATCCGCCTCTAAGCTCCATGTCCTTGCTCGGCGACTGCAGCGGCGCCTCCGTGTCGTCATCACGCCATGGCATGCTCCGTCCTCCGCCATGCCTAGGCCAGGCGCCAAGAGAGGGCGGCCGTCGCTAGCCGGGCCCAGGCCAGGCACAGAGGCGCAACTGGCCGCTGCCAGGCCGCGCCACCATCCTAGGCCGTCGGTGACCAGAACCGGCCATTCCCCACTCTGTTCTGCGTCGCACGAAAGAAGGGTGAAAAACGCATGATGCATGTGTAAATTTCAAGAGTTTCAGATGTTTCAGAGGTATGTTGCAAGTGTTTCAGATGAATGTTGCAAAAGTAGATCGGGATGTTGCATATGTTGCAATGGTTGTACACGTATGTTGCAAGCTTCTGTTCTTAATGTTTCATCTTTCTTTTCCCGATGTATGTTGCAAGTGTATTTTATTTCGATGTTGCATAAGTTTTCACATGTATGTTGCAAGTGTTTTATCTGGATGTTGCGTATGTTTGCCATGGTTTCATGTGTTTTTAGTGTTTTTGCAAGTGTTTCAGACGTATGTTTTAAATGTTTCATTCTCTTCACACGTACGTTGCAATTATTGTATCTAGATGTTTCAAAACTAAATCGGTTGTTGCATCTCCCTCATCACCTTCTGCTGCCTCAACTCGGTGTCAGGCGCGGGAAGCGAGGGCAGGCCGAGGCGCTCCCCACATGGAAGCGCGGGTGTGTGGCAGCATGCAACATGTGAAGCAGCAGTAGGCGAGCATGCAGGTGCAGCAATAGCAAGTGGGCATGCAACAGCAGCATCAGGCGTGGGCTGACAGGCACAACAGGCATGGGCGGGAGCAGCAGACGAACAACATGTTCGCTGGTTGGTTTCTAGGATGATAAGCTCGGCTGGTGCTGGTTTGTTGTGAGAGAAAAATATTATACCATGGCTGATAAGCCCTAGCTGAAACCAACAAATGAACAGACTGGAAGAAGGCTAGCGCCCGGACGTCCTAGCCACACCCATATTTTAACTCTTATTAAGGTTCGACCTCGATCTTTTTGTGTTCAAAGCATCCCGCCAAATAAAATAGACCTAATAAAATACTCTCTCTGTCAAAGTATATAAAACGTTTAAAATTGATCTTAAATAAATTATAAGATATTCTGAATTACTCAAACCCATTCAGCCCCCCCCTCCCAACATAAATGTACCGTCCATGTATGTTTGTAAACACTAGCATTTTGGCCACGCTAGTGTTTACAAAATCAATGTACCGGCCAAAGCTTTAAGTGATTCGTACCTCTAGTTTTCCAAATTTAGCTATCAACGGATGATGCCACTAATTTTCTGATGAATTGCTAAGTCAGAGCGTTTGGTCGGATCACCGTTTTTTTCTTTTTCTTTTTTGGCTTGGCATAGAAGTCTTTCTCTGCTCGTTGACTTGTGAATTTGGATTAGGTCAAAAGCAGGCGCTCATGCATGGTTGTCACGGTCTAGCAGTCGGTACTAAGAGCAACGCTAATAATACAATCTATTGCTGGTTGTATAGAAACTTACAGTTAATCTATTAGCTCACTTATAGTAGTTAGCCCACTTACAACCTACTTGTTTGTCTTACAAGATTTCTTAGTTCTTGTGCATAAGTTGTCTGTATACTTACAACCTGCTTCTCTCCTCCCCCTCTCTCTCTCTCTCATCTCTCCTTTCTCTTCCACATGAACATTTATCCTACTGACAGCCATTATAATACTCGCTCTAACTTAGGCCTCGTTCTTTTTGGCTCGGAATGGCCTAGAACACGTCCTATTCCACCTAAAATAATTGGGGCCTGGTTCGAAATCAGGTCCAACCCAGAATCTTCGTTCGTTTAGGATCGGTCCAGAACGAAAACGGGCTATTCCAGGCCTTTCCACCCACTCTTTAGCTCATAATCGATCCAGAACTCAAGGCTCGAGGAATCGATCCAGACGGAGGTGGCCGAGCGAGGCCTTACATTTAGAGGGAAATCGGCCGGGTTTAGGATGTCCCTCTTGGCACATGGAGCTAGAGCTGCCAATGGTCAACTCGATCCTGCGATCGATCCACAAGGCCCAGTGGTAGCTCGACAGGATGAGTAGTCTTTTGCAAGCGAGCAAGCGAAGCGAAAGCTGATGGATCCTGAACCGACCGATCGGATATTCGGATCGTATCGGATAGTGTATAGGCACGCACGTACACTACACACGGCCCAAGCTACTACTCCATAACATGATCGTATCGGATAGTGTATACTTCACGAACATAACATGTATTTCATATAACATATGAAATGAAAAAACTTGAAAATAAAAAATGTCATATAGTAAATTAAAAGAAAGAAACATAAGCAAGAAAACAGAAAAGGGAAGGAAACAAAAAAAAAGAAATAGAAATACAAGAAAATAATTAATTAGACTAAAGTAAAAAGAAATAAATGAAAGATAAAAATATAAAGAAAACAAAACCACATAAAACAAAAATAAAAGTGTCCTAGTCTTTTTTTTGAGAAATAGTGTC